TGGGGGCGATGGTCAGCGAGATGTCCTTCAACGTCATTGGTCCTTCGTTCTCGCTGGCCTCTTGTCTACCACTGGGGTCGATGTTCCAGCTAAAAGTGCCATGGCTAACCTCCACGGCGAAGGACGAATCAGCGGCAGCTCCTTTGAGCACTTGTGGACTTGGAGGTACTTGTGCGATTTCGTCGGCCAAGAGGAACGTGCCGACTCGCGTACAGGACGCCCAGGCTTCCGATGCAAACATGATGGAGCTGGAGAAGACGGTGCACGGTAGCCGAGCCACGTTCATGTACGCGAGGGCTGTGAACGCCAGCGACGGCGTGAGCTTGTGGCCTTGAGCCACATACACGGCCAGACACAGCACGAGCGACAGAATCGGCGCGATCGATAGCGTCACAGTGTTGAGCACGCGCACGTACTGGTACTTTTTGAGCAGGGCCAGCTCCTCGTCTCGAATGGACGCGATGCGCGCCTCCAGCGGCGACTCCCACGCGTACAGCTTGACCACACGCACCCCCTGGAGCATTTCGTTCGTGAGCTTGACGCGCTCGGACTGGACGGTGAGGATTTCGCGGCGGACGGCGCCGACGGCCGTGGATGTGGTGTAGCCGGTGTACAGCAATGCTGCCATGACGACGCCGCCGACGACACCGGACACGGCGCCCAGATCGAAGCCAATCATGATGAAGATGGCCAGCACGGTCACGGGCGCGACGAGGACCCATGGCCCGAGCAGGAACCCCTGGAACAACCGCTCCGAGTCCACGGATGACAGCGTGACTATCTCCCCTGACGACATGTTGCGTTTGGCAAAGCCGGACAGTTTGAGCGACTTGAGGTAGACCGAATCCATGACGATGGACTTGGCGTTCACGCCCAAGTTGGACGACACGTACTGGCCAAAGTCGATGATCGTCACGGACAAGAACGAATGGACAGTCAGCAGCGCCGCGAGGGCATACCCCGACGAGATGCCCAGGGATGTGTGGACAGGTACTTGGTCGTCGTTCGATTTGGCTTGGAGGAACTGCAGAAGCGACTTGATGATGTTGGGCTGCAGCAACATGAGCGCAGCGTACAATGCGTACAGCGCCACATTGAAGTACCATTGTGATCGCATGGTGCGCATCATGGCTTTGGCGAAGCTCGGATGCGGCTGCAGCTTCTCGTGCTGCCAGAACCCGTCAAAGCGGCTGTGGAGTACAGCGGACGTGTGTTCCGGGCACAGCTTCCACACATCTTCCTCCATGAGCGTCTGCTTGGCGCCGCGACGCATCATCGGTTCAATCCAAAACATGACAAATGTACTGAACCAGTTGGCCGTGCCCATCGGGTTGGGCAAGTCTCGCCAAGGTATGTCCTTTGGCAGGTCGTTCGATGGCAGGCTGGACGTCGGGGATTGAAGGCCATGGTAGCCATCGTGTTGGACAGGAGATGGCGGTGCCATGTTGCAAACTTCAAAATGACCTGTTCGAAACGGTGATGACCTGCACCGAAGGTGTACTGCTTTAGGCGAATTACCTACCCTAAGATGAAACAATACACCCACCCATCATAAACGTGTTCACGACGTGCTGTCATAACAGCAGAAGGCGAATCTCAGTCAAGTCTAACGTGCTGGGAGCCATGTCTTGCGTCGATATGGCGCCAAGACGGTTGGCTGGCCGCAATTGCTAAGGACGCAGTTGTGTTCCAACCTCGGAACCAGCTGGTTGGCCAGCTAAACCCATGGCGCCGGCCCATTGGCTCTCCACGAAACATGGTAATTCGAAGTGCAATGATGTTCGACATAGCTATATGTTTAAGATCTGGGAAATCCGTGGAGGACAGACACACAATGTCCATCCATGAGTCCTGTCAGGTACCGTACAGTAGTTATCAGTGTAACGTTACTACTCCGAGATTTATACTACGTACTTGAGGTAGTACGTATATAAGGTAACTCATCGATTTCTCGGACGCCATCGATTTATCGGACGCTTAAACTTTTGACCTGTTAAAATCCCTCGATTGGATGTACATACAGTGTACTGTACGATTCCAAAATATGATTACAGTATACAATTTTAATTGTATAATCATATTTTGGAAAAGTGAATACTATTAAAATAGTATTCACTTTTTTTATCATGAAATTTAATGCAAAGTTGGTTTTTCACAATATAATTATGGGTATGATGCTCGTCACCTATAAACTACCAACTTTTCACAAAATTTTCTGACTTCTATTTCGTATTCATTACTCAAAATTTCAGCAAATTGAGACGTAGAATCGACAGATCTCAATGTGGTGAAGAAATTCTACGTCTCATATTCAAATTTGGTGATGAATTGGTCCAGAAATAGATATTTAACCTATTAATAGTGGTATTTTACATGGGCGCATGGAAATTTACGGTATTATATTTTATGGTAATATTTTCCGAATTATTATTCCCACCATATAAATCCTAGGTATTCAGATTGTCAAAGAAATAGGCATATTCACACGAGATTCATTCATTATTGTGCAACAACTTTATTTTATCTAAGGGTGCGTCTGGTAACATCTCAAAAATAACATGTCATTTTCTGACAAAACGGGATAAACCAAAAATGACATTTTCAAAGTGGAGGTACTGTATAAGTAAGGTCCATTTTGTAATACCACTTGGAATGATCGGATTTGGGTTAAAACTCTGTAAGGAGGACATGTTTCAATTTTATCCGATTTATTGAATTCGACCCGAAAACAGGTTTCGCCTGACCCGGAAGTCCAAATGAGTATATTACGAATATGCTTCAAATTTCCCCATTCTTCGCTTAAATAGCCAAATCTGCAATAGCTGTCGTTCGACAATCGAATTAACTGTGTCGTTTAAACGTCTCGATGGTTGTAACTTACTTCCTCTGTTCCAAAATTGTTGTCCGACTCAGAACTCCTCCCATCATTTAAATTTGAAACCTTCAAATATCTATGTTGTGTGCTTTTGTCAATGTATAATGTTAAAAGGGTTGCTCTGGCTATGCCACTGAATGTATGATGGGTGTGTGAGTGGTAAATCTCCGCATAACCATAATCGACCAAAGCTGCAATACAATAGAAGCCTGAGGCCCCGTGAATCACAATTCTGCCGTACTCAACGTCATCAGTTATACTAGCGATCGACCAAATATCACAAACCCTCATATATGGAGAAGAATGTGCACTGTGGCCCTTAAGAGCATCTCCACCGCGGCCAGTATATCAGCAAATCAGTATATCTGTGTGTCAATTTACTGAAATATTTTGGCACCGCTACTTAAATCTGGTCCAATAAAGTACTGATCTGATAATATTCCAGTACATTCCCCACCAATCTGTGTGTTTTGTACTGAACTTGCTGGAGTCCAGTATCCGCATATATGTCCTGATATGTAAAGAATGGTTCCAAATCAGGGCAGTCAAAGAATGACGAGCAAGGGCAGGAACTACCTTCCTGCAGAGCAGGAGACGTTGTGCCGTGCTTGGCTTCAAGTGTCACTTGACCTCATTCTTGGGAACGACCAGAAGTCATCCAACTTCTACGACAAAGTCGCTGAAATCTTCAACCAAGAGCACGAGTACGTTCGATTCCTCAATAGTGTAGCAGTCGAGATGTCAAAGTCTATAGAGCGAGGTCGGCATGCAGCCTGCAGATAAACTGGCGAGATACTATCCAGAAGCAAGTTTCGCTCTTTTGTGGAGCGTACAAGAAGGCAGTCCACAACCCTCCGTCTGGTACAAACGGTATTGACCACATGCGGGTAAACGTTGCTGCCATTGAAAAACATATTATTCAATTTCTATATATATAGACTGCTCTCGAGCTGTACAAGTTGCGCTCAAAGAAGAGCGCATTCCGATTGCACCATTGCTGGCTCATTCTTAAGGACGCGCCGAAATGGAGCGTTGCCATGGAGCCATAAGAAGCACTGCGTGGGGCGCAGAATGAACCGAGTCCAATACTGCATCCGTCGCCAACAGTCGATTCAGATGACGAAACAAGCGCTGGTAATTATATTTAATTGCTAAGCAGTGCGATTGGTTTCATTATATTTCTTTCCCCCAAATTATTAGCATACTGTGAAATGATTTACTTTTCTGAATTATGAAGCCGAAGGCGCCACTGGTGTTCCACTAAATCGTTTTGGAGACGTTGGTGCACAGTTGAATCGATGACGGACGCAAACGCACCGCGGAGGCGCTCGACATGTGCAAGATTTCCGGATGCACGTGTGGGAGGTGGAGAGTTTATAGCCTACTCGGAAGGCGGCACCGCCATGACTTCATGTTGATCCATCTCTGATTCGATGATCATGTTGTGGAGTATACAGTATGTCAGGACGACATCCTTCATTGCATCCTTGCTCCAGAGTCGGCAGAGATTCGTGAGAATGTGCCAGCAAGCTTGCAGCATGCCAAACATCCGCTCTACGTCTTTACGACGTGACTCTGGTGCCTTGCTAAAGTGCGCTTCTTTTGTCGTTGACGGATTACTGATTGTCTTCACAAAGACGCTGTATTTGGGATAAATCCCGTCCGCCAGCCAGTATGGGCGGTCGTACGTTTGGCTATTTACTGAAAACTCAACGCGTGGTGTTGTTCCTAATTACAAAATTATTTCGTCGATTTATTGTAAATATGGCATTCCAATAATTGTTGTAACATGAATGGCGTCAAATAAAAGTGACGAATTGTCCAAGACATTGATGTCATTATTTGCCCTTGGCATCCCAAAGAAACAGTGCCAAATGCGGCCCCGCATTTCCGACACAGCCTCGAGCACAACAGTGGGCTCTCCACTTTTGCCTTTGTACTGACCAGCCCAAGCTTTCGGGCAATTCTTCCAGGCCAAATGGCAGCAGTCAATACTGCCAAGCATTCCAGGCCAGCCCACGCTTTCACTATGTGCCAGCAGTGCTCTCATGGCACTCTCCGTGGGGCTCCGCAAGTAGGTCGGGCCGAACTAGCACTGTACAGCCTTGCAGGCTTTCACGCATGGTTGACTCCCCAATCGATAACTACATGAATATTTTTCGAGTAACAGCCAGCTTACTATGAAATTACCGATCGACCAGGTCATCTAGTGCAGTGCCTGTTGCTAGGTGTCGAATGCAAGCTGCAACACGTTGATGCGATGTGAGTTCAAGCTTTCCTATTATAAATTAAAATATTTTCGTAAACGTGTGAATACCAAATATAACCTATTACCGACAGCATCACGGCGCTGAGTGAAGTAGGGATCATGAGCTGCAACGATGCTCATGACATGCAGGAATAGATCACGAGACATTCGAAATCTGCGCCTGAACATGGCGCTGGAGTACGTGCAGCTGGTCGTGAAGTAGTCTTGCATGAGTAGCTGCGCGAAGTATGCGCTCTGACGGCCAATGTTCCGCTGCTTTCCTGTGCGAGAACCACCGTGCATACCAGGAGGTTGAGGAGCGAACACCATTTGTATGGCAGCATCAATGATGTCGCTATCGCTTTAACTGTCGAACTCACTGGAGTCGCAGTGCATCTCAGGGTGCTGAATTTGCTGAATGAACTGATCTGTGCGGTGCGAATTCATGTAAATTTACTGGCCATTAACTGTAAAGTACTGGACCCAGTCTATCCGGACATTATGCGGATACTGGTTGGTCGGTTTACTGGGCAGCGGTGGAGATGTTCTTACTCCGTCAAAGTATTCAAGAAATTTCTCTTTTCTCAATTATAC